CAGACACTACTACACTCCATGATAGATGGGAAAAAAAAATAATAGATACAAAAAAGAAATATAGGAGACTGCAATGCTAACGTAGGGTCCTAAGTTGTGCATCCAAAGTTAGGGGAATGACTAGGGAGACTTGAGCAAAAATTGATACTAAATTTATTTAATTTTAGGATGTTTATTTTGTTTGTGAAACTGATGATCAAAAAACTAGATTTCAGTTAAGAAACTTAGTGTCCATAAGGAGTTTTAGTCCCCTTTGGCCCAAATAAATCTGTACACTTTTACTAGCTTGCATATAAACATACAAATAACAGAATAGTAACATGTCAGCGCTAAAGAATTACTAAGTCCTTGCTCAATTTAATGCTGAAATCCTGCTCTTAAGTGCCTGTTACTTGGCTAATATTAAACAGAAAATTAATAACTTAATCTCTGTGTAGTTCTATTTCTTCTTTTTCTTCAGTCTACAGTAAATCGCCCTCAGTCTCTGCTGATTGCAATAGGCATCGAGTGTGTTTGTTGTCTTGCCGGACAGATCCTAAATTTACAAAGGAAGAAAAATAGGATGATGAATGGGGTGCCTTTTAAAGCTGTCAGTTCTTCACAAAGTAGATGTGTTGTCAAATAATTTAGGAGAAAGAACTTAATGGAACATCATGTTTATTCATAAGAAGGTTAACCCAGCGACATAGGCAGTGACCATAAGTTTTACCGGGTATTACCGAAGGTACTGTCATGGACAGACAGCTAAGAAACTCCTTTGTCACTGAAGTTTCGAGATCACGTAGTAATTATGCATCGTCTTGTATCACTGTGGACTCTGCTAGCGGATGAGAAACAATAATGGTGAGTTATGTATCTGAATGGAAGTTATCAAAGTCCATTATCTTCTGCGAGGCTCATAACAAAAGTGATTTAGCACTATTAAAAGAAATTTTAATTATGGTCTGTGGGATGAGACTAAAAATTTAAAGCCGTTCATTCCCTTTAATCTAGAGTATATCTCTCACTGATAAAGGAGACTGACACAAAGTTTAAAAGTTAAATCTTGCTGAGTCTACACTTCCCGTTAGTGAAGCTGCTGCGATTCTGACACACAGTTATGTATTGGAGTAAGCACATTTGCAGTGCTTTCCCTTTGCTTGTGTAGCCACCAATACCTGCAGAGTGACTGAAGGAGCTGCACGTTCCAACCAAGAGTGTAGTGGCAGAGTGGCTAATGTGTCTCATTATGCTTCCAGAAATATAAGTACACCTTGTCTTCTGCCTAAGACTACTCTGTATTGCACTTGTTGCTGGTTATCCAGTCATTCAGGCTGGGAAATTAAAGGAAGTAGGATACAATACTAGTCACATCTGTTCTAGAACCTCATGCTGTTAACTGAAAAAAACTGAGGTGCTTTAGCTGTGTTAAATGAATGGATGTCTTCAGCTCAGATAGTCCTTCACTCTTTCTTGACCTCATATGCAAATTCAAGAAATTCAAATTTTACTCCTTTTTTTAATTTTCCAAATATTTCTTTGGTTTCAAACTGTCAACTCCTATATTCTCCCATTCGTTATTTTAAGGTCACTTTCCTTATACTCTCTTTATTTCATATTAGACAGTCACTCATCCTAATGTCTCTGTTCAACAAATTTATTGGGCACATCAGAAGATTTCTGTATCTCTTCCTTTTTTCTCCTCCCCACTCATCCCAGACTATTGATGGGCCGCCTTCTTATTCCTACAAAGGAATGGGACATATGAATCATTTGTTATGTTATTTCTTGATCAGAAAGAGAACTCATTCGTGGTGCAACTTCAGATGAGGAGGGTGTTACTAGGCTAGAATGTGGGTCTGCTTTCTGCTGGTTTTCCAATCTCTGAATAGTTATGGGCCTAGCTGAAAGTACATGGTCACATAGCTGGATGCAAAGATTTCTGTGCCCCAAATTCTTCCCTTTAGTTTTCACTAAAATGAATAAGATTTTCCCCAGATTCACTCCCTGAAATTTTTAGAATGGGTCAAAGTACTGTTCCATACTTAGAACGCTGCAACCAGGAGAAAAAATCCAGTAAGTGTTCAATCTATTATTTTATTCATGATTTCGCTTGTTTTTGACTATATTTTAGAATTATTCTGGACACACCCAGCTTTAAGGATGTGGTGGTCAGTTCTGATGAAGTAATGAACAATGCTCAGATTTGACTTACTAGTCCCTCTCTGTTCCTACCCGCTTTAGAGAAGAAGGTGTATCAAGCCTCAATGAAAATGAAATAAGCTTCCCCTATGGTTACTACAGTGCAATAACGTGCATGGTCTCACTTAACTTTGGATAATTTGTTCATCACCAGGCCTGTTTTGGTGTGGGGTTTTGGTTTGGGTTCTTTTTTCACAATGATCATTAAACACCAAAGATGATAATTTTTTATATATGATCACATAGATATAAATAAAGCCAAGAATTTGTTGTTAGTATGATTGAAATTTTAACTGCCTAATTTAAGAATCATCATTAGTCTACGTCTAATTATTACAAAAAAGGAAGAATAATAATGCTTTTAGAGTACTTATATACTGAAAAATTCCCAATAATAATAATAACAACAACAATAAAAATTGTAACACCTGCTTCTTGGTTTCTGTCTGGTTTGCTGGTGTTATGCTCACCCTTTCACTGCTGCTTTGGGTTCTAAGGTCAGTGGTTTCCCTCTGATGTTGTTGGGGGCTGGGGGGGAAGGATGTTACAGCAAGTTGTCAACATCTGAGCCCTTTCCTGGGAGGATATTCATGTTGATAGTTTCTTCTTTCTCCTCCCAGGATCCTCTTGGGGTCATTTGTATATGTTTGCTTATACATGTTTACACCTTTCTCTTTCTTCGTTGGTCTGCAGCTCCAGGCTAAATATGAATTCATAGAATCATTTAGGTTGGAAAAGACCTTTAAGATCATGGAGTCCAACCGTTAACCCAGCACTGCCAAGCCCACCACTAAACCATGTCCCTAAGTACCACATCCACGCATCTTTTAAATACCTCTAGGGATGGTGACTCCACCACCTCCCTGGGCAGCCTGTGCCAGTGCTTGACAACCCTTTTGGTGAAGGCATTTTTCCTAATATCCAATCTAAACCTTCCCTGTCCCAACCTGAGGCTGTTTCCTCTTGTTCTATTGCTTGTTACTTGGGAGAAGAGACCAACACCCACCTCACCAGAACCCCCTTTCATGCAGTTGTAGAGAGCGATAAGGTCTCTCCTCAGCCTCCTCTTCTCCAGACTGAACACCCCCAGTTCCCTCAGCCGCTCCTCATCAGACTTGTGCTCCAGACCCCTCCCCAGCTCTGTTGCCCTTCTCTGGACACGCTCCAGCACCTCAATGTCCTTCTTGTCGTGAGGGGCCCAAAATTGAACACAGTATTTGAGGTGCGGCCTCACCAGCGCTGAGGACAAGGGGGATGATCGCTTCCCTAGCCCTGCTGGCCATGCTATTGCTGATACAAGAGTTCATTATATATGGTGCCATTTATGTATGTTAGATACTATTTTTTCTTGTTGCCCCTAAAACCAGCTTTGTCTAGCTCCAGGCCTTTGTTTTTTAACCGACCATTATTGAGATGTTTATAGTTATGAGGTGTCTATTGTCAAGGCTGTGCCCCATCTCTTACCATCCCATACCTGTAGTCCTTGTGTCCTTGTGTTTCCACTTCTCAAGGTCTTTGCTATCATGCCAGGCTTGTATTTATCTACACTGTTATTATGTTGAGTCACAAACATCGCATTCTACCTGGAACAACTGCTTCTTACTGCTATCCATATAAATCTACGGTTGTACTACACAAAGATAAACAAAAGTAACACAATTAGATATAGACACCCGGTCAACAAGAGAAACTGCTGTCACAGCTGAACCAAGTAAAACAAAGTTACAGCCAAGCCAAGAAGAGTTCAGAGCGCACAGGACAAGCCTCGGTCCTTAGGTGTTGAAAACTCAGTACAAATCCCATGGCAATGGCAATACCGTATTGCAGGGCTACATGGTTACAATATTCTGTTTTATATGTAGATAAAGTGAGAGGGAGAGAGAAAAGATTCTTCAAAGTATGACTTGGTGCAAAGGAAAACTATCAGAAATTCAGGATTGGTACCACTACCTTGTCTTTAAGTCCTAGCATGCAGACAGGTCTCCCTTTCAGATCTAGCTGAAATTATTATAGGTGTTTGCAGCCCCCAGCTGTCAATTAGTGCTAACCAGAGCCATCGTCCTTCCAGCAGAGTTGGTGCAAGGCACATGTAAATGTTTCCTAGTCTGCTGTACTAAAAGTCCTATTCAATATCGTTTATTGCTGATAAAAGTGGTTCAAGTTAAGACGGCTTACTACAGTGTAACAGATAAAGAACGTGCCCATCTCTCTGCTGGGGAGTTGTGGTTCCACCCAGTTTTGAGCGGGGGTAACATTGCAAGCTGCTCCAGCAAAATAAATATGCCTGTATCTCAATGAAGTTGCACATTTTCACTTAGAAAAATACACCAGCTGAGTTAAAAATTGTCAGTTTGTTCATAGTGGAAAGCTAAGGGCCAAGGTGGTGGTGCAGATAAGTTGTGCTGTGTGTCAGTACAATAGTGTGAGTCAGTGATACGCACCTTTAGAATAACTAGGTCCTGATGTAATAGAGAGGATGGAAAAGATGGAAAAGTCATTAACTGGTGGGTATGAGAAGTATGATGCTTTAAATCACTGTGGAATTTGACTAAAAGGATTCTTTCAAAAGTGTGTTTAGAATAAAGTTATACCATTCTTGTAATGCTTTCCGCATGTAGCTTTAGGGCATTTCACCTTGAATGTGCCTATTTTGTGAAGTTGGATGCTAGATCTTGAGACCTGTAGATTGGATTCTGGTTTCCAGTACTGCTTTCACAGTAATTTGTGATAAATACAGTGTTGTCCTAAACTCAGCTACAAATTCAATAGGCACGCAGTTTCAGGAACAAAACATTGTGTTTCTCTGCTTAATTTTAAAGGGTGTGCGTAGCTTGAAAAATACCTACTTCAAACCGAGATACATCCTGTTAGTACCAATGAACAAAGAAAACTATGAGGGACATCTGCGGAGGAAAGGATTATTCAGCAGGCCAGAGATTGAAGAGGCAGTCTCCAGAGTGGACATGTACATCAAAATAAGCCAAGTTTTTCCAGGGTACTTTGATGCAGTAGTCAACACAGGTAAGTTAATCTCTTTCATACTATAAATCTGGCTTCTAATGTCACACCAATAGATGGACTGAAACTGCTATGCAAGCAAAGCCACATGAAACTAAGGGTGACGAATGGTTTGATGTTCAGCATAACAGTTTAAACTTTGCCTTAACTGATTTTTCCCAGTTAATTCTTGTCCCAGGAATCCAAAAAGCTCTGGAGGTCTGTCAGGACTGAGTTACTCTGTTATGTCCAAGTTGTGCTTTAAGCCCATCTAGAAAGCGAACCAACTATTGAACTGAGCAGCACGCTTGTTAGGTATTGTCTCCTATGAGAATATTAGACTGATCTGTACTAATTGTCTGTTGGTTTCTGGGCAGAGTTCAGAGGTGCTTTTGCTCTAAGAGACCTAATTATCTCTGGGCAGGTTAGGCTTCTTTCAGGTGTTGAAATGACAGCTAATGTGCAGTCTGGCAATGTCTCCTTGTAAAGAAGAAGCTGCTGCAAAGCTTGTGTGGGACTCTTCTGCTCAGTAACTTGCTCAAGTCCCCCAGCCTGAAACAAGGAATATGAGCATGGTAGCTATTTCATTAAAACAGATGTTTGCTTCTTGATATTTAGGAATTGAGGATAGCAAGTGGTAGAGAAGAATCCTTTTCTAGCTCCTTCTCTGTGTCTGCCCCTTTGTGGAGCTGATTTTTGTGGTTCACCACAGTGATGGTGAACTATATCATTGTGGTATGAAATATCGTAGTTGTACTTATTGTCAACGGTATATGGAGCTTACAATTTAAATATAGCATTAAAGAAATAAAACAGTAAACCAAATTGCAAAAGGAGAATATTTAGATGAGTACAGAAACTGAGATGAATTTCAATTATTTTCTTGAATGTGCTATTTATGAAGGTGAAGATTTTTCTCCTACAGGATGAGCTGGATGAGTTAAGAATGCATTTCTGTGTCAAACTTCTGTGATTTGTAACTATATATTGATGAAGCTTGGCTTTTTCATTATGTATCCTTTCTCTCCACCACGAATTGTATATCTCTTTCTGCAGATGAATTGGATGAGGCATTCATGGAGCTGAGTTTCCTCATAAAGGCATATCTGGGTTTAGAGCCACCTGCAGTTTCTGATAGCATTCAGGACTTGAAGAGCAGAGCAGGAGCAGGTACTGTGTCTGGGCACATGCTACTACTGTTTTTATCAGTAGAGTATTCCTACTCATTTGTTACAAGAATGGAAATCTGTGAATGTTGCAACCTGTGAGACTGCTTGTCTCTGAAACCGCCTCATGCTTCTCTGTAACGGGTCTCCTGGGCTGATTCCTCCCAAGGTTCTGAATCTTTAATGGAGATCTTTCCAGGAACTTTACATCACTGTGTACCCTGAGGAAATAATATGCAGAAAGTGAGTTGCCTGACTCTTCTGCGGATGCTTTTGGTCTGAGGATCCGTTAATTCCAGATGAATCGCAAGTGAGATAGGAGTCCATGGCTGAGAGCTTTGTGTCTATCAAATTGTTGAGCAACAAGAAAGTAGCATGGCACTGAGACCTTACTTTACTCTCTTCCCTAGGGTAGCCAGAAGCGTGAAGAGGAAAAAAAAAAAAAAACCTGAATATAGTAAGATGAGTGAAGGCAACTTACAAATTCACTCCAAGTGCTTTTGGGTCTACCTACTGCAGGGTAAACCCAAATGATAGCCCTTGAATGACTAAGGCTGGAGCCCCATGATCACCTCCAGCTTTTCATAGAATCATAGAATAGTTTGAATTGGAAGGGATCTTTAATGGTCATCTAGTCCAACCCCCCTGCCATAAGCAGGGACATCTTCAACTAGAGCAGGTTGCTCAGAGCCCCGTCCAACCTGACCTGGGATGTTTCCAGGGATGGGGCATCTCCCACCTCTCTGGGCAACCTGGGCCAGGGGTTCACCACCTTCATCATAAAGCACTTCTTCCTTATGTCTAGTCTGAATCTGCCCTCTTTCACTTTAAAACCGTTACCCCTTGTCCTATCGCTACAGGCCCTGCTAAAAAGTCTGTCCCCATCTTTCCTATAGATCCTCTTTAAGTTCTGGTAGCTGCAGTAAGGCCTCCCCGGAGCCTTCTCTTCTCCAGGCTGAACCCCCACAGCTCTCCCAGCCTGTCCTCACAGCAGAGCTGTTCCAGCCCTCGGAGCGTTGTTGTGGCCTCCTCTGGACCTGCTCCAACAGGTTCAAGTGCATGCTGCTGCAAAAAGTGGTCATGCCCCAACTTACATCTCCTGCCTATGCATTTCTAGCGTGCTCCATGCTCTCATTTCTCTGATTGTGCAGCCATGTGTAATCTGCATCAGGGAATCCAAAAACTAACCTAGGGAAAAAAACTCACAAATATCAGACAGATCGACTCTTGATCAAACTCATCATGCAGCTATAGAACTGGCTCAAGGAGGGAAGGGTGAGGGAGAAGAGCTTCATGGCTGCCTGTGTAGGAAGAAGGGAAGACTACTCTTGTCAGAGGCAGAATAACGAAGATTAGCTTAACATATTGTGAGAACTCAGCTGTAACCCCTGACTTTGTTCCAGACAGAGCAGGTTACCAGCTGGGATGAAAACAGAATATGATCTTTAAAGTACTGGAGAAAAAGAGATAAGAAATAGACATTACAGTATTAAGATGTTGCACAACATGAACTAACAAGAATCTCGTTTATGTGAACTCTTTCCTCTCACTCCAAGAACCTCCATGGTTTATAGCTGTCTTGGTTAGATGCATTACAACAGGAGGATTAATGAGTTTCCTAAGTAACACAGGGACAATATTCATGACCTTCTGTGTGGCTCAGAAGACTGCAAATAAAAGTAGCTGAAGGGAGGGCAAAAATGACTGAAAATGTTAATGCAGAATAATGTAAAATTCATCAGTTCATCATTTCAAGTAATTTTGTATCCTGAAATAATTAATAAATACTTATTTTCTAGTGGACAAGAAAAGAGCTTCTACATGTATTGTGGCATCTCAGTGCTACAGCAGTGAGGACCTTTCTGAAGAATTTTATTTAATCTTAAACTATGTAGATTTTATTTTCATTTCCAGAGCTTTCATGTTTGTTTGAAATGAGAAAGAAGACTTCCTTGCCTTATTTTCTATAATATTGTTGCTTATTTGTCTTAAAACCACTGGAGACGTTTCATACTGAGAGGCAACAAAACCCACCAAAGTGTAACTAGATTATCAGGAAAGAAGAAGAAGGGAGAGGATTAAAGATAAAAGATTTGTATATAATAATGTTATTTTTGAAGATATATACATACGTATCTGAAGTTCCTTTAAAGGATTTAGTTTGTATTCCTCAGCAGTTCTAAGTTCTTTCATTGAGTGACTTGTAACTAGTTACAGAAACTTCATTAATAGTACTAGATTTTGGTAATTCTGCTGTCCATAAAGTAACTTTTAAATTTACTATGCACCATTAAATTCATTTAGAGCTTCATTTATAGGTGTTTAAATAAATTTAACTATCCTACTTCTAGAGATCATCTCTTCTTATGGACTGTGTGAAATAATTTATTTTAAAAAACTTGCCTCAAGGTTGTCTTTAATATGGACATTTTTAGTAAGATAGTAGCAGGGGGAAGATTGGTTGTGTGAGATTATGATAGGTTGTTAATTCTCTTTTTAATGAACTGCTGTGCAAGATCTTTTGCTCGTGTATAGAGTAAAAATACTGGGAGAAAATAGAGAAGTTCTTTTTAAAAACTTTTTATAGCAGAGGTATAATACTTTTCAGAGCTGATAATGCTTTGTACTTGCATTAGCAGCTTTCACCCATGGAACTTGGTACTTTACAACTATTAATTATATTTCACAGCAGTCCTGTGTAGTATGTGTTACTATTGGTATTTTACAAATGAGGAAAGAGACATTTATGCTAAAGACTGATTATTTGTGATGCTGGGCATCAGAAATCCCACTGAAGTTTTGGCAGTGTGAAGCTCTGCACCTCTGAAGGTTAGGCTGTACTACTTACTCAGTGTCGAAGTGAGTAGTTTACTGTGCCTGAAACAGAACCCACCAATCTTGAGTCTCATCTCCTCTGTTCTTAACACCAGATCTTCTGTCCACTACAAACCAGCAGTATATACTGGGTAGGTCAGTCATCTGATGATTGTTGGAACTTTTTTATAAAGGCATATGCTAAGAAAAATAATTGTATTTAGTATATGAACATGCATGTGGATGGGATGTCTCTTTGCCTCTTGCCTTTGTATGTGACTTCTTAGGTTCTGAGCTCTTGTGCTTTGCTGTGACACACAATGCAATTAAACCTTTCTTATGATTGAATTTCTGCAAAGGCTGTCATGTACCAATATTTATAAGCATTTTTCTGTGACTTAATTAGATATTTAGATACCATTTTATATACAGGATAAATCCCAGTTTACTTTTTTTTTCAACTTTGATAAAAATGTTTTTTTGAAAAAGTGAATTGATTATGTCTTCAGCTTTCTGGCTCACGGTCATGTTTGATCCAAGTAGTGGTACAAGTCTTTGGATTTTTGTTCACAGAAATTCAGATAAAATAACAGAAGAAAAGGTGCCCTGCTCCAACTCCTCATCACATTCCAAGAGCTCTGAGAAGGTTAAAACTTCTAAGCAGGTAGACTGTAATTAGCTTGGAGGTCATAAACAGAGGTGCATATCACAGAATCACAGAATCACTGAGGTTGGAAAGGACCTTCAAGATCATCAAGTCCAACAATTAACCCAACGCCACCATGTCCCCTTAACCATGTCTTGAAGCGCCACATCCACACGTTTTTTGAACACTTCCAGAGATGGCGACTCCACCCCCTCCCTGGGCAGCCTGTGCCAATGCCTGACCACCCTCTCGGTGAAGAAATTTTTCCTACTATCCAATCTAAACTTCCACTGGCACAACTTGAGGCCATTTCCTCTTATCCTATCACTAGTTACTTGGGAGAAGAGACCAACACCCACTTCGCCACAACCCCCTTTCAGGTCGTTGTAGAGAGCGATAAAGTCTCCTCTCAGCCTCCTCTTCTCCAGACTAAACAACCCCAGTTCCCTCAGCTGCTCCTCATCAGACTTGTGCTCCAGCCCCCTCACCAGCTCCGTTGCCCTTCTCTGGACACGCTCCAGCACCTCAGCGTCCTTCTTGTAGTTAGGGGCCCAACACTGAACACAGGATTCGAGGTGCGGCCTCCACAGTGCCGAGTACAGGGGCACGATCCCTGCCCTGCTCCTGCTGGCCACACCATTGCTGGTACAGGCCAGGACGCTGTTGGCCTTCTTGGCCACCTGGGCACACTGCCGGCTCATGTTCAGCCGGCTGTCAACCAGCACCCCCAGATATCAGAGCATCCATAGCAAAATGAGCTCATCTACACATGATTAACCACCTCTTCCTAGTCCATTAATGTAGAGGTGTTTTTTTTAGATTTTTCATAACTTTCATTTGCCTAACTATTCAAGGGGGGTAAATTTGTTACATCTGTGAAGTACTGGGGAGGTTTAAAAGCTTTTTGGGAACTGTGTAGTTTATATCCTTTATAACTTCCACAGTTATGTTTTGTGAATCCAGAACTGTGCCAGAAGCCAGCTGATGATAGTTGCAAATTACCAGTTTCTTTCTGCTTGCTGTAAGCAAAGTGGTGTTAAGAATATTTTTGTTGAGAAGTGTCTTTTCCATACTAGATTCAAGAATACGGCTCTTACAAGAGCAAAGATTGTCACCTGGTGGAGCGATTACTGGAACTACTCGGTCTTCATCTGTCAATGAGTTCTTGGACTTTTCTGCCAATAACTATCCAGGAGGCATCTCGGACAAACTTGCTGCACAACTGAGCTCTGTGGTAAGGAGCATTTACTCTAACCTTAGGCAAAAATGATAAGTCGTATGCAAAAAATACATGTTAGTCAGACCTTTCTTTCTCCAGAGAAAATGGACTCTTGTTCTCTGGCCATCTTTCATTTCAACAGTATTTACCAGTTCTGCGGAGCTAAAGGCAGATTGATGAGAATGAGGTAGGTAAACTCAGATGAGGAGACAGCCTGTCTTTTCTGCTCAATTTTACACCAGAATAAATCTGTTGATTGTAATTGATTTCATTCAATTGTGTACTGGTATAAGGGAGCTGAATATCATCTCTCAGTTCTACAACAAGATATGAAACTATCTTATTCAGAGGAAATAGTTAGATGCAGTTAATAGGACAATGAAGATTACTTATGAACGCCATCCTGTGGCAGTGGAAAAACTCATTCAGCCGAGCCTTTCAGAGTGTATGCTAGTGCTAACTGCCAGAGATCAAATTTAAGCACGTTTTTCACCTGCTTTTACTTTTTCAATCAACAGATTCAACAATGTGCTTGGATTTCAAATAACCTTTTGCAACTTCAGCTTCATCTCTTTCTCTCTCTCTTTTTTTCACTTTTTCTTAATAGTCCTTTCCCTAAAGGCATTCATTCTCCTTGCAGGCAGTGGGGGAGTTGGGGCTATGAAGCAGATGTGTCTAATGCTCTTTTTATATGACAATGACAGAAGAAAGAGAAAAAGAAAAATGAAAGCTTTAAACTTTGTTCCATTCCAGGGTGATGATGTCATTATGATGAATGATGGCTTGGCGGGCATGACTTGCTGTACAATTTTGCCACTATCTCTGTATTTATAACTACCTCTGATGTTTAGAATTAATGCTGTAGATGCAGAAAAGTAACAGGCCCCCCCCGCCTCCATTTCCCAGGCTTTAAAAAAGGCTCTCTTAGGTGTGGAGAAAGGTATGACTGTAAAATACCTGACCTAAATAGGGGACCTCCCATCTTTCAGTCTTCTGAAATGAAATAACTCTTTTCAAGCCATGCAGAATTAAAAAAAAAAAGTCACGTGTTGTTTATTTTCATGTTCCTTTCATCCAAAGGTTTGTTAGTTTAATGTGAGAGAGAAGCCAGAATATTTCTTACCTTGCTGCCACTCTGCCATCACTCCTACCCCAGCAATTTATTTTTCTCACTTTTTATTTCATCTTTTTTATTTTTATTTTGGAAGTTTACATTTTGTCAAGTCAGGGAGAAGTGGTTTATGATGAAGGAGGCTATCATTTGCCTTGGGTTTAGCTTACTTAGTGGCTGCAAGGCTCTCTTTCTTATTAGTCTCCTTGTTCAGTGCTGGTAATACCTTTTTGTTATTGACTACACTAAGTTTCCAATATATTTTTACATGCAGAGGAAGCTTTACAGCATCTGCTGAAGTGTCAACATAGTAAAACGTTCAAGGTGAAACACAGGTGCCTTTTAGACCATATTTAATGAGAAGAATATAAATATGTCTGTGGCCTTAAAGTAAAATTTTGTCTAAACTGTTACATTTGGGAATGCAAATTATTTTTGTGCTTTTGGCACCCAAATAATATGCTGTCACTGCAGTAACCACATTCTACTCCCATCATGTAGAACTAGAAAATAAAAAAATATGAAGACATTAGTGTGAATTATTCACATGCAAAACAGGAAGTGGGATCTGCCGCTCAGGGAAAGACAGTAGATCTGATTCCTCACAGCCTTATCCCTTGTGACCATGCCAACCCTGCACTAATTTTATATGGCTGTAATTAACTGTACAAGGTATGAACAGAAAGGTATCTATACCTGTAATCCAGAAAAAAGGGTCAGAATTATACCTTTACCAAAAGAAAGCAAAACAACACACAAGCTCATTGAGCATCTAAGTGGAGCCTTACTTAACATAAATAGTGAAGGAATACACAATAGTCATCATGTGAGCATTCAGCAGAATAACTGTATTCTCTTTCATTGCTCATACCATGACAAAACACCTCTGTTACAGACATGTGATTTAGCTATTAAATTGATAACTATCAATGGCTATCAGTTGATAACAATTCAGGATTTAATAACTTTGCTCTGTGATTTCCATTTTATTTTTTTTTAAGCACGCTGTAGTGCTGTGTTTGTCTGTCCTGAGAAATTACATTGTCCTACAGCACATGTTAATTAAGACACCCTTAAAACTCGGGACGACATTTTCCAGCCTGCTGAGATCATAATGTGTTCATTGTACAAAGTCATTTTAACTAACTGAAATTTGCAAAAGGTAATTCCTTCTTTGAAGGGGGAATATTAGTTGATATAGAGTTGGTAAGGCAGGTTTTCTGTGTTGCTGGAGCAAGGAGAACAGTGTATTTAAGATGTAGTGGAGGCAAATTCTTCTGTGTTCAGCCCCTTGCTGGTGAAAAGAAGCTTAAGACAACGGCATAGCTAGAATTATCCTTGCTTTAACATATTGGGAGGTTAGGATTAATTAAAAGTGGTTCTCTGCCGATATTCTTTCCTGCTACATCCTGGCACATTTTGACTACTATGAAAAAATGGAGCTTTACTGGAGATGAAGATCTTCATTTTTCAAAGACGGCAAGTTTTCAGACCAAAACTTGGTTTGTGTAGATCAGCGAATAATATTTAGCAACTTGTTAGTTATAACATAGCTGTGTTATTTTCCCAGACTATATAAACGCATACACTCTAGAGTCTTAGCAAAAGAGAGGAATATCACAGCCAATTGAGTTACCATATATACTTTTAAGTTGACGAATGAAGTTGGTTATATTTCTTTATCAGGAAGAAGCTTCTTTCCAAAGGCGTCATTCTGCAGCACGTCAGGCTCTGTCAGGGAAGGCACCTGGTGCATATGTCCAGCTCTTTCAAAGGTAATGTAGAGTTTTATTCATTTTGCAATAAAGTGAAAAATGCCTGTTTAAGATTTCTTCTCCACTGCTCTTAAGGATGACTGATTAGAAACTGTCAGGGATTGCAAATCTCACAGACAACTCTCCATTCTATCACTTTTAAATCTAGCCCTGCAAATATATCTCACACTCCCTGTCTTTTGACTTGGGACTACAACAGTCCCAAAACGTATACCAAAAATCCACAAGTAACTTGGCTAAAACTATGAAACTATTATATGCTGCTTCTCTGAGGGAGCAGAAAAGGATCATTTTTCTGGCAGCTCACAGTCTCCGACGTGTTTTAGCACTACTTGTAATTACTGTTGGAAAGTCAAAGCCATGCTCAGCACAAGGTTGTTTGCTGCAGTACGTCTTCTGTGGATCTCTCTGTTTAAAGCAGAATTTATGAAAGATGACTCTACTTCCTAATTTTTTGATTTTTTTTTCCTTTAGTTTTTAGAAAATAGATTCTGTCTTGACTGTCTCTCTTCCTTTTTTTTCATAGTCACAGCCCTGCAAAAATGGTGTTGAAAGTCTATAAATCTCAATGTACCTTATTTGATTGATCTTTTGTGGCACTCCTGCCTTCCCCTGGTCTAAATCTTCCTAATCTGAATTCTTCTTTGCTTGCTTTTCCAACCTGCCATGAAAAGACTCACAGTGTTGGCATTTAAAGTATCACATAGACCTCTAAATCAGCAGTCATCAGAATGAATAGAAATGTTCACACCTTTCAGCTCATTTCAGGCCTGTACAAATGCAGCCACCAATCGTGTCGCTGAAAATCATTCCAATGACAAAGTCTGGAGATTGACTATTAAAAAACAAAAAAAGAGGAAAAAAGCCACCTACTGAATTAAACTGTCTTTAGAAAAATCAATGGCAGAAGCTTACAGGCAGAGATGCATAATTATGATGCATTTTCCAAATCTTTACTTAGAGAAAAGTTTTTTTAAAGTAGCTGATTCATTGTTTTCAAATTATGTTGAAATGAGAAGAAAAATAGAAATCAGTGTCGTCTTTTGCTAGATGTTTTGGGTTTGATTTAGTGGTGCAGTGTAAACTGTTCATTTGAGTCTGCCTTGGTTTGTTGCTCTTTGCTCCCTTTATTCCACAATACTCATATGCTGGAAGCTGATTTTAGAGTTAAGTATCAGACTGCTTTGGCAGAGCTGTCAGGCAGGTGAGAGAAAATCCTGTCACCCCAGTCAGCATCTGCAATTACCAGGCCTCAAGGGATAGATGTGCTCAGCAGAACTGGAGGCAAGAGTAGGCAATACCCCGTTCCATGCAAGAGGTTAAGTCAAGAGGTGCCATAAATATGAATGCTATAAAAGGGTTGAAATTCTGAGGGAGAATCTGAATCCTGGAATGTAGCAATTAGACATCAGAGAACCCGGTAGGTCATGTAGTCCAGTCCAGCAGAAAGTGTATGGTTGTTCTTCTGAGCATGTTTATAGAATCATAGAATCACAGCATGGTTTGGGTTGGAAGGGACCTTTCAAGGACATCTAGTCCAACCCCCTGCCATGAGCAGGGACATCTTCAACTAGAGCAGGTTGCTCAGAGCCCCGTCCAGCCTGACCTGGGATGTTGCCAGGGATGGGGCATCCACCACCTCTCTGGGCAACCTGGGCCAGGGTTTCAGCACCCTCACTGTGAAAAATGTCTTCCTTAGATCTAGTCTGAATCTGCCCTCTTTTAGTTTAAAACCATCACCCCTTGTCCTATCACAACAGGCCCTGCTAAAATGTCTGTCTCCATCTTTCCTCTAGGCTCCCTTTAAGCCCTGGCAGCTGCAGTAGGGTCTCCCCGGAGCTTCTCTGCTCCAGGCTGAGCCCCCCCAGCTCTCCCAGCCTGTCCTCCCAGCAGAGCTGTTCCAGCGCTCGGAGCGTTGCTGGGGCCTCCTCTGGCCCCGCTCCCGCAGGTACTAGACTCTCCTGTGCCGAGGGCTCCAGAGCTGGACGCAGCACTGCAGGGGGGTCTCCCCAGAGCGGGGCAGAGGGGCAGAACCCCCTCCCTCGCCCTGCTGGCCACGTGGCTTTGGGGGCAGCCCAGGACACGGTTGGCTTCTGGGCTGTGAGCGCACATTGCCATCTCCTGTCCAGCTTTTCATCCCCCAGTGCCCCCAAGTCCTTCTCCATGGGGCTGCTCTCCATCCCTTCATCCCCCAGCGTGTGCTGATCCTGGGGGCTGCCCTGACCTGGGTGCAGGACCCTGCCCTTGGCCTTGTTGAACCTCATGAGGTTCACACAGGCCCATTCCTTGAGCCTGTCCATGTCCCTCTGGATGGCATCCCATCCCTCAGGCCGGAATGCTTATACTGGTTTGTTTATACAGAATTGAACCAAGTTTTAAATACCCACAGTAGAGGGGCTTTCACCTTGGAAAAGCTCGCCTAGAGTTTGATGGATCTTGCTTTAGTTACTATGGACCTGGGTCATGAGTAGCTTAAAAGGTTATAGCATGTCATCTTAGCTGTGGTAACCAACTTCGTGCACACTCTCAGCCTATAGTGAATGTAAGGCGATGTGGCTTTCTTTAGCTTTTATCAAGGGCTAAACAAGGAATTTGTACACAGATTGTGTGACTGAGATGTCACAAGGTAATTCGGTATGTCATTATTCGTAGTAGTATTAGCAGCAGCATCCAAATAATTTTGGGGTAGTTAGACTGTTACGTTGTTTTATACTTTCCATGGTTCTTACTTAAATTATGTATATTGTAATGAATTTTTATCTTTCTCTGTAAGTCTATGCTTAGTAAGTTTGGTAGGGTCTCTCTAATTTGTTAATTAATTCAAAATTGATCAGTCCAGAGTATTTCAAGTGTCCCTACAACAAGTGCTGGCAAAGACGACACCTATAGCCTGCATCTGAGGCGCCATACTTCATTGTCTCTGCATATGTTGCTCAAAAATTACACCAATCTCTTTGTGCAGATGTGATTGCATTAGATATCCAGGTTCAACATCTCATCTCGTTGTTATGTGTAGATCCATCTCAGCTTTAGTGCTTCCCAAATTTCTCTCTCCTACAGAATATCCATGTTTTAAGTTATTTTCTTTCAAGCTGTATTTTATTTGGATGTTTTTATTTCTGTTTTTACTTGGCTACGTAAATAGGATAGGTCATGCCTGTTTGAAATCCAGTTTTAAAAAAATCTTGCTGTCTATTCTCGCTTTAATCCTATCAGCTTTGTTCTGATGAATTTTTATTTAGAACATGATACACCTTTTCTTTATTTTCATTGTCACCAGCAGTGCATAAATGTACTTTGTCCACTTAATCTGCTGTTTTTGTAAAAACGTGTTTTCTTACACTTTCAATCAAATGATTTCTTTCAACGCATCCAGCCTTATACAGGGTTTCAGATGATGAATCTTGATGTAGTAAGCTTGCTGCCATAGCACTCCTCACTGGGGAATACTGCTCCTCTAGAGGAGCGAAGAGAAAAGAATACGCATGCAATATAAAGCCTCATTTTTACCCTGAACTTCCAGTGGAGTTTGAATTGACTGAAGGTATGGGGTTGTGATGGGGAGAAGCAAGTATGCATTTTGTTCTGTCTGTCCTACCCCTGGGGAGATGGCAGCTTGGAGCAAAGTGAGGCAGATAGAGAGAATGAAGTTCATTAAAGCAGATTAATTTCAGATTGTTTTGGGAAATACAAGAGGAAGGTCCATGTTTGCCATGCTGGATGGAGTTGGTATAGAGTGAAACTTTGTTCTGAGGGCGTTGCAGGTAACCTGAAGCAAAATAAGACAAGTACTTTAAAAAGTAGGTGATTCTAATTTTAAAAGAACAAATTTGTGACATATGCAGGTAATTGATTATGTATATTTTTAGCACATAGAAATACCAATATGATTAGCTAGAAGATTCTACAATATCTTGCTTGAATTTAAGATTTTGAGAGGAAATGGCCTCAAGTTACGCCAGGGGAGGTTTAGATTGGATATTAGGAAAAATTTCTTCACTGAGAGGGTGGTCAGGCATTGGAACAGGCTGCCCAGGGAGGTGGTGGAGTCGCCATCTCTGGAAGTGTTCGAAAAACGTGTGGATGTGGCGCTTCAGGACATGGTTTAGGGAACATGGTGGCGCTGGATTAATGGTTGGACTTGATGATCTTGAAGGTCCTTTCCAACCTTAGTGATTCTGTGATTTTTTTTTTAGCTGTTGGACTAGATTTTAATTGCATGAACTATATGAGTAGCTCCATTAAAGCAGTGTTTTATCTGAGGATTTGTACCCTGATTTTTGTGATTGAAAAGGGCTATCAGTGCAAAGTAAACTTTTTTGTGTCCAGACGTTTCTTGTCATGCAATGAGGAAGAATTCAGTAAATTTAGTATTTCTTCAGTGGCAGTGCTAGCTCATACACACCAGCCCCTTCCTATTCTTCCACAGCCCACTCTGTGCTGCAACTGGTTCCAGTGTCATACAGCTTAGTGATGAACTGAATAAAGGTACAGATCAGGTTTTGCCAAACAAAAGGGTTGTGTTTTTCAGCCAGATGAATTTCCCTCACTCTCTGAAGAACTGCTTGCGCTGGCATCATGCTGAGGGAGGACTGGAGTGTAAATAGCTGGTGTGGACCAGAAATGGTAGAGGGCAGAGAAAGCTCATCTTGCTATTGAGCAGTGCTGCTGCAGAGAAGGAGAACCCTGCTTCAGTTAGGAGTGACTAAATTCCATGAAATATATTAAACTGATGCCAAAAATGATATATTCAAAGAAGTTCCTAAGGTACTAGATATTTTGAATTTCTTGTGTATCTGTAAATATCAAAAGATTCTTTAATGTTTAATCTCATCTTTGCACATTTTAATCCAAACTGAAATATATTGCTTAATTTTCCTGAGTTTGTATTAGAAAATTTTAAAAGTGGTGTCACACAAGAATCTAACCTGTTTTATTTATTGCAATCCCGCAGGGTTATCTACATAAATTTAGATTCCTAAATCCAAATTACTGAAAACCTGGCCTCTTTATTTTTTGCCTGTGGCTGTGTGCAGGTGTAATTAAAGTCATTTTGATGTCTCATTGCCTAATATAATGTATGGGCAATGTTCAGTGGTTTGCTCTGAATAATTTCACTAGTTGTTTGTGTGTTTGAGGGTAATAAATAAGGGGTTGGGTTGAAGTCTCGTTCAGATCAGGCCTTTAGCTAATGATTAACTTCTTGATTTCATCTAAATGTTGCTGAAATAACTGGAGTAAGCAAGAGCTGGCATCACCAATAGCAGAATTTATAACATGCAATCTTGCTTTTCTGAGTTGGAAGAAATTCATACACTTCACAGTTTCACCGGAGCTCCTTGGCAGAACTGGGAAGAGAGAAAGTCCATGGTCTACCTGTGGTTGAGACACCCTCTTCAGGTTCGATTTGCTAGCTGTGAGCATAAGATTTGCCTGCATGTTGTTGCATACATTTCTTGCAGACCCCCTTGTCTAGTCAACCTCTGACTTCAATGTAATTCACCTTTTTGGTTTTATTTCTATGCCTCTCTTAATGACAAAACTAGGACGTTGTTCTGAACTACACGGATGTGCCTTTTTACAGGGTGCTGTTTAACTTCTCCAGTCTGTTTTCCTTTTTTTTTTTTGAGCTGAGGTGCAATTTGAATTACACTCTGAGCCTGAACACCTATAATGACAGTACAAAACTTGGGAGGCAATGTAAAGAAGTCATTTAGTGCAGAAATAGATGGTGAAAAAAACATCCCTGTAACACCTTTAAATATGCATATTTTTTTATGCCTGTACTGATACCGGGGGTTGAGATGTAACTTCTGAGGGTGGGTCATAGGTTCTAAACCTTTGCTGCAGGAAGTAAAGTTAATTTTCCTGGAGTGACCCAGTCCTTAGAGGGGTGCCTTAAATCCTGTCGTCACATTTCTGCTTGGACTCTTATAACCTCCATTGTCAGGTTGTCTATTTCTGTGCTATATATTGAACAGAGTTCTTTGCTAAAGAGATTTTCTGGTTTGTTTGGGTTTTTTTTCTTTCCACGATGTGGATTTACAAGAAATTATTTCTGAGAGCACTCAGCTCTGGGGGCCATTAATGGAACCAGGCCCTTTCTCCTATGTAATTGGTCCAGATTTTGAACTGAGCCGTTAACAAACACCATTACCAGCCAGCGGTTACTTGACAGTGAAACAAATAACAGCTGAACAGCTTGAGGCCTTAACACTAGGGAAGGTTTATTTATAGGTATTAGTAATAAGAAGCTAAAAAAAGGGGAATTAAAAGATGAAGTGTAGAAAAACCTTGTTTGCAATGCACAGTGTATTGGGCCAGGGACTGATTTCTGAAGGAGGAGTGGGGAAAGCCTCATCACTGAAGCACCAGAAGACCCACAGCAGGGAACAGCCCTGCTTTGGCATGATGAGGAGGCATGAAAAGACAGTTTGAGTTTCCAGCTTGTTTCCTGAGGGAAAGTGTCAGTGGTATACTTGTTGCCTTAATGGCCTATGGGCATGATTGAAGGCTTGATGAAGAACTTAACATTTTGGGGTTTTTTTCCAAACTGTAGCAATCAGTCTTCAAAGAAGATATTAACACTCCTTAAAAACCTAGCTTCTCCCATGGAGCAAGCATTCAGAACTTGCTACTGCACTTAAAAATGTTCTTGACAAGCTCCCTAGGGAAACTAGAAAATGGCACACACAAAAGTTACATAGGCTCATTGCCCTTAAGGATAAACAGATTCCTTCAGAGTTCAGTTGAGGTGTGTCAGTGGGATGGCTCTGGTACAGGGGGTAGATATATGGAGTCTTCCAAGAGTTATAGTTTTAAGTTCAGCATTTCATTAAGGACCTCTCATGTTTGGCAGTCTTCAGTGCTGCATCTGTCTGGTTTTAGCTCTGTGGCTCGAGTCTATAAATAACGTGGTGTCAACACTGCAGTTACCAGGAATGCTTTTTTTTTAGGAGTTATGCATGGCAGTGAAGATGAAACGTCTCACCTTGCGAGTTAGACGCAAGGGGTGGGATTAATCTCACCTGATTTTGGGTGTCTTTAATAAAAATATTTCTATCTGAACAAGTTGCCCTGCATTGCTTTATCTCAGTGGAGAGTAATTCATCCAACCTGCTTTAGATATCTACTTAAACTTGAGTTTATTCATACTCTAGCTGTGACTGTTCTTCTCTATTGGCTATAAACACAGCCTGGATTACTACCCCCAACTGCTTATCGCTGCTTCTCTCCCACTGGAGATAATGCTACCCTCCATCTGAACAGGTCTTGTGAACTCACTAAGCACTAATTATGCTATCACAGTATATGGATGCATGTAACAAGCACTTTATTTTCCTGTCGTATCATTTTAGGGACCTGGCAGTCACTCCTTCACCGAGCAGCTCCTGCCAACAATTACTGGAACCAACAATACATGCTTCTCTGCTCTCAGACAGAACGAACGTCACCCAAGACCAGAGTTTCACTCCGACTAACCCAGAAAGCCGGTGAGTTCAGTTTCTAAGATGGCAGATCATCACTGGGTGGAATGAAGGTTAATGCTGCAATGTGCAAGATCTAAAACTATTTCCCAAGCTAATGCAATTGTCTCATCTGTTACATGTGTCGCCTTATTAAACATGTGTTGCTGCAGCATAAAACAAAGTCTTGTCATTCATGGGAATGGCTTCATTTAGACACCATAATTCACATACACAGAATAGGAATTTCAAGAGCTCTCTATCAAGAGGACGTTTGAAGGGAAAAAGATGCTGAAAGAAACTTGGTCCAGGTATAGAAAAAACAGAACTTGAGTGATAAATATGTTTTTTAAACAAATTTACCAGATACTGCTATCAATCAGAATTATTTCTCATCCTCTCTTTAGAGTATTACTATAGTCACTGTTGAATACCATTTGGGAGGCTCTGGATGATATCATGATCAACTTCATATCTCATCCATGATAACAGCAGACCCCATCAGGATGCTGAGCTCCGTAGTACCTTTACCTTCTCTTTCTATCTCAGCCATTGCTGTTATGCTTCATAACTTGTCCAGCACCTCAGCTCGTGAGTGATGAACATCCTCATTTATTTGTAAAATAAAAGCTAAACAGGCTCTGAGGTATGGGAGAGAGACAACTCCTAGCTCATTTAAAGCTTGTAGAGAGGCGAGGATAGAAGAAGATTTGAAGAGGCTACAACTTCAGCATCTTTAAGCCCTTAGCTGCAAAGCGGGCTATATTTTCCTGACTTGCTCTGCAGATCCACATTGCCTCTTACAAGATGGCTGTGACTTACTCTAATGCTCCTGTTTTGTAAGTACATCTTAGCTCTGGCTGCCAACAAGCCTGTCTGCTGTTGTGGCAAGTGACATTGCAGGCTTTCTATGCAGTATCCTGGATAAGCTTTTTTCCCCCTCTTCTGGCCATCTGTTGTAATCTCGTGCCCAGATGGGATACACAGAAGCAGCCGGATGCCACACAGCATGACCTAGTGAAGCAGAACACGCCAGATCCCCCATCCACACTAGGAAATAGGTGTGTGCTTGTAGTCATGCTCTGCTCACCCTTTGGAACCTACCACAAAGCTCATCTGAAAGCTGCAACTTAGAGTGAGCTCATGTCTATGCCGTATGGCTGTTGGTAAACTTGAATTTGATCGTGGGTTCAGTCCCATGTCTGCTATCTTGTTCTCATTCCATACAAAATAAGGTACCTTTCCTTACCATACCATCTATTTTTCACCTATGTGTTTTCATGTCTTTTAAAAATCACTGTTAAAAAACCTCCTAAACACACATTAGGCAGCTTTTCACGTTAAGTCAGTCCGATGAGAAATGCTGAGCATCTTTACAAGATTTGAACCCCTTCACTTTATTCCTCATCTGTTAAGCAGAATTCTTAGCTAAACTTGCTGTTGAAAAAAATCTCAGTGTTCCTTTTATATCCTAGAGAGACTGCCAGTTCCCTCTATGTGATGTTCTACCTGCCACTGTAATTACAAGTAGTTAATTAGCATGCTGTAAAAAGGTTGAAACCGTAGGCCTCTGCAGATTCATTTGTCCTGAGTATTTGTGCCACAGTGGAGTGTGCTGAGGGGCAACAGAGTGAGCGAATGGAAGGAACTGAGTGCGTAATAAGTTGCAGAGGGATTATGCGTCATCTGTCCTTACCAGTAAGAGGCAAGACCTGTAACTCAAATGAGCGTGAAGCTCTGATGAGTTGTAGAGGTCTTACCCTTCGCATATGGGAATAAATATGTCTTTCTACTCCACCACATTTTTGTGTTTTGACTTTCGCAGTGTTTTCATTTAGCACTGTTAATAACACAGTGGAAAAACAACTGTGAGGAGAGAAAAAACAAACTGCTAATCTGATTCATTTTCTGTGCATGCATCATGGCCTACAGCAAAATTGCAGAGAGTCATGTTGTCAAATCCTTTTGCAAGGGAAATACGGGAAGTTGGGAAGAAATTTGCTCATAGGCGTGATTGATGGAAATGCTGTTGTGTAGATGCATTTGAAATATTGGTGAGAAAAATCCCACTTTTCTGAAGTATTGTAGTAAAGCCTGTAGTGATTTTGTTTGAATATTGAGGTGGTTTGATATTTTTCTTTCTCTTTCTCTCCAATTTTATGCTTTCGACATTGGGAATGGAAGAAAGAGTAAACTAAAAAAAGCCATCAAGGAGTAAGAGCATGAATGTATTGACGTCCAGGCACAGCTAGTGAAGGAAATACTGTTTTTCAAGATCAGGGACTGCAGATTAGTCTGATATGTCACTGGGCAACACTGTGCCCAGGTCCCAAATTTCTTGCATTATTTCTCAAATCTAGCAGTTTTTATTTAAGCTTGAGCTGTGGTGCACACAGCATCCATTATTCTTCTGTCACTAGCACTTGTTGGATTCAAGCCCTGCAATTCTGTTGCTTCTTTTACAAGCGAAACAGACGATCCTGATTGCATTTAAAGAGTGAAAATTAAAGGTTTTGTTTGAATGTCTGCCCACTGACCTGCATTTTTCAGCAGTGCAGTTTCTAATTTCATCCATGGCTTCTTTTCATTGCTAAGACCATAGCTATGGTCTTCTCCTTGGAAGTAACCTATGATGACCTACTCTTTCCTGATTTCACAAAAGAAAACACCATGCCAGTTTCCCTGGATTTTTGAAGTCCTCTGCCGGAGGCTGAACTCTCCCGCACATGAAAGTGTGTGGGGGTTTTGCCTGAGGTTCTATTTGTTTTCATTCATAGGCTTAAACAATTTATCATTGCTTTTGTTGAGTAGCAATCCTTTAGGGCAATATATCTTAAAACTGTGCTTTAAAGGACTGCTATTCACTACAGGCAATGATAAATTCTTTAGGTCCCTGTCTGCTGTATTTCATTACTCACATTTACCAGTAGATGTGTTTGTAAGGATATTGAAACGATCTGGTTACAGCATAACAGGGAGACCAGAAGAGAGGAGGGGCAAAACATAATGAGTTGGACAGTAGAAACTCAACATCTTAATCTGTTACTACACCTTCATTATTTGCAAGTTTGAGGGTGGAGTCAGAATCTCACCTACCATTGACTAGTGCATTTAACAAGGAACTGCCTCAAATATTTAATTGCACGTCCCCATTCCTGACAAGCACAATCAAATGAAAAATATCCATCAATTGAAATATTATGACATCATGTGCAATGATATATGTTAGGGTTTGGCAGTCCAGTGCAACCGTAACCTAAACAGAATCTAGAGCAGTCCAGTGCTTTACTCCTCAACTCATTACTAACACATTTTGTATTTAGTGCATACAGAATCCATTTATCCCATTACTCCATGGGGTAATACTGTGGGGTTTTTTAAGCTTCCTATTTTTCATTTCTTTTCCACTTAGCTGACTGCGAAATTTTTCTAGAGGGAACACATGCCTGCTTCGCCTATAATAGTTCAGTTTTCTGTGCTGAGGCTGTCAGGGAAGGACTAAAGATAGGTTATCCAAACTCATTTACAGGTGACCTGGCAAAAGCACAAAGGAGAGGCAGGTTCTCAGCTCCTCTGCCTCACCCCTCCCAAATACCTTGGACGTCTAGATGGCAGAGACCTCATAAGCTCTAGTTTTCCTGCTTATTTTCGATGTTATTCTCATTGAGTAGTTTTACAAGAAACCTTAATTAAATTAAATGTTTCCTATGTCACTTGTACTGGAAAAGCCTGGGTACCTGCCTTCCCTTTACACCTTGACAAGTGGTTTGTAAATTATTTCCCACAGTTTACCTTGTCTTCTGCTCTTTAAGACAGGGACAGCTGGGGAAAAAGGCAATGAAGATTTTTGTTGAACGCCTTAGGATGCTGGATTTTAACATGATGCATTCATGTATTTGTGGCTAGAGATTCACAGGGGGTTAATTCTAACTATATAATACCTATTTTTAGCCTTTATTTGTAGGCGAATGTGTGACAATGTTCTCTGAAGCAAAAGCAGAGGTAGTCAGCCTTTTAGAAATTCGAATAGATGTTGTTGAAGAGTCCAAGCTGCTGTTTATACTGAGCCTGGATTTACTACTCTCAGTAATTTCTTATTCCCACCACAGTTATATCTGATGCGTATTACAGGCAGCTAAAATGAGATTATGACTAGGGTTAAGCACTTGGCTAGAGCATTCGGTGTTTGATGAGCAGCCTTGGATGCAGTGGACCTCAGAGGAAGATAGAAGCACTCAGTTCATTACAGGATATAATATTCCTTTACCTTGAATGCAATGGCAATATTCTCATAGACTTCCAGAGTTCATCTAGTGAGAAGATACTTACCTGTTTCTTATGGGAGTACCACACTGTTTTATCTCATTATTCATGATCCCTTCTTCTTATTGTATGGATTTATTAATATACCACAGAAATACTTTCTTTCTATTGCCCAGAACACTGTAATCACAGTATTCTTAAAAGCTAAAATGCTCCTTGCAAGAATTACAGGATGAAATTCTTTTGGCCTGCATCATGGATAAGGTCAGGGTGGATAATCTTTGAACTTCCTCCCAGATTCCTAAATCTTTGAATCAGTTTCTCTCACCTAGACCAGAACAGTCCTTTCTGTATGAAAAGCGACATTATGGAATGTCTTAAGCATTGCTCCAGATATATATTATGGTTTTGGATTAAATAGGTAGTTATTGATCTCTCCATATCAGTCAGGACCTTTCCCTTACTTTTCTTGAAGTAAATTGATATTATATAGATGGAAATGGAAAATCTTTATCAGAAGCTACAACATGGTTGTTATCATTGTCAGGGTCTCAGACCACTCAGACTTTGGCTTTGACTAGATTTTCTGCAAGAGACATAACAGGTCAGAGGTGCCTTGGGTACTACTCACTGGTAAATGGCTACTCATGGTCCATGTTGTCACTTGGGTGCTACAGAAACACTTCTTTTCAAGGTAATTCTTATTTTCTTTTACTACCCAAGACAGAACATCGTCCGCAGTGCTGAACCACAGGTTTGGAAACAAGGAGCTCTGAGTTCTGATCCCAAATCTGAAGCTGATTCACTGTGTGGCATGAACCTCTTTATTGTACCTGTCTGTGCAATTAATTAAACCAATAAATGAAAATTGAGAGAGTTAGTAGTTGTGTTTGCGAGCACTAGAAGTTTTGAGAGAATTGTGATGTGTGAAAAAGCTTTGTGTAACTGATAAGTACTCAGACTTATTTCTGACTTTGGATTGAGTTGTGTGACTGCAACATCAGTAATACTGTCAGATCTAGTGCACAGGCTTTTTTTACCGCTATTTGAAAGCATAAATCATTTCCCTCTCTCAGCTGCAGAGTGTCTGGTCCTGACAGTGGACTACTTCTAACCTCACCTGGTGCATCTGCTGCTGAAGGTCTGCCAGTTCGAACCCCTGTTTCCCATGCTCGTCTCACTGAAGAAGCCAAAGCTGAGCATCAAGATCCAAGAGGTGCTGAAAATGGAGTGGACAGATTGAAAGGTTTGACCCATATTCCAAAGTAACAGTTTTTTTCAGGCTGTGTATCTTTCTTACTGTAATGATAGTGGCTTTATTTGGGTGACAGGGACGCGTCTTCATGCTTCTGGTAATGACGCTCTTATAAGCAGCAATGTTACGATGTGGCACAATCTTTGCAGTGTGAATGCAACAGACTCAATACAGCAGCTTTCTCTCAATAAACTTCTGGAGAAATTAAAAACAGTGATTGCTTAGGGATAAAGTTACTCTTTCATATGTATGAGGTAGAGCGGTCACTAGGCTACCTGAAGATATTACTCTTCCCATCCCCACCCCCCAAAACACTGGGTTTTCAGCTGGAGATATGTTTTGTGGTAAATTTTGACTTTTCATTGAAATAAATACCCGCCTTAGTGCTTCTTCACTTATTTATATTTTCTGCAGAGACTGAACTCCCTAGTAACAATCTTCAGAGAAAATACAGCAAGTCCAAGACTGGTTCTTCTTATGTGCCTCAGCTCATCAACTGGCCAGGCTCCCACACCAAACCTGTCCTACCTCCAATCCCGTCTGGGCGGAAGAAGACCAACCCTTGATAGCCACTAACTAGCCAAGTCTTTGTCTTGAATCTTGATTCTACACTGAATCTTTCTGTCTAACAGGAATACTGATTTTTATATATTTCTCTTCAACAAAGCAAAGTCTATCAAATATTATTTCTAAATCCATTTCTGATTAACTCTCCCCAAAAAAAGTTATTTATTTATAACTTCATTACAAAATAATTTTTGTATTTCCCAAAGCTAAAAATTATTTCCCCAGGAACTCTCAGCTGGTATAGATTTTTTTTCCTATGCCACGTGACCATATCTTCCATTAATTTCTCTCTTTCCTCCCTCTCCTATATTAGAGATTTAACTGAGGTGTGGAAACATCAGGGCCTCTGATAATATTGTCTATATTGTAGTACTAGTGAATTATTTTGAAGAGGGATTTTGTGAAATGTTCAGAGTTAAGCTCAGAGTGAAAACTAGTTCCAAGTCTTTTTTTTTAATAAAACGTGTTTTTTTGAAGGGATGAGACATAATTCTTCGATTTGCAAGTGTATGCAAACAACCTAGCAAGAAGTTGTCGGAAAAAATTATTAGAATTGTTGAGATGTAGCTGAAACATGTAGGTAGTATGTGAAGATTTGTTTCTCTGTATGTAGAGCAGAGCTCTGACAAGTAAATAAAACTCCTGAGTTAACATTTGTCCTGATTAATTTTCCTTACCATCTACTTATAGAACAGATAGCAGGGCCCCTTTGCCCGAGCAGCTTCCCTGGAGGAGGGGTGTTTGCTGTTCATGTTACAGCGTGGGTCCTCAGGTCTTTGCGTGCACAGAAGATACGACACGTTGCCACAGTGTGGAGTCACGTCCATGGGAGAGCTCTGTTTTACCTCACCTGCACATTCACGATGTGGCCAAGGGTCTTTGTTGTTTAAATAGGACGAACTGAACGAAGCAACGCAGCTCATGGTAAGTAATGGACGGATTCAGATAGCCTGACCTTAAATTCCAGTGAAGTCTGTAAAACAACTCAGCTTTTTATTAAGTAGTTCCCGTTCCATATAGCAGCTGGCCGTATCCTCAAGCTGAAGAACAGCGGCTCTTCCAAGGCACCGTTTTTTATCATTGATTTTGGCAGAACACAAAGCAAGGCTGCTCCGCGGCGTGGGTTCAGAAGGAGTTCAGGCAGCCGATGCTGCAGTTTCAGCCTCAGTGGGTTTTTTGCCAAAGCAGTTCAGCGAGGTGGGTACCTGACTGCCACTGAAAACCACCTAACCTCCTTTTCTTCAGCAAATCCCACAGGGCTCTTCAGGGCCGCTTTGCCGCTATAAATACCTTCGCAGAAGCTGGCCTGGCTGTCACAGCTGGCTGCACGGTTGACTGACATGGATGCTGATGAGTCTATCAAGTTTTTGCTGTTTTACAGGAGCGAGTGGTTTTGCCAGTGTCACGGTTAATGAATACGTACAAGGTACCTCATGGTTCATACACAGCAGGGCCAGGGGTGATCACACCTCCTCGCTTAACTTGGGAAAGCAGTACAGTCAGTGGCAGATAAATCCGTTTTCTGCTGGTCGCTAATGCAGAAATGCATGTTTAGGCCTTTGCTCTGCATTGCAGTCTGGGTACATATATATGGTAAATAAGGGCAGTGGGTGTTGGCTGATACCCCAGTCACGTCAGTGTCTCTTTCTTTTTGCTTCCATTCCTGCGCAGTTCTCCAAGCCAAGACCACTTCCACGCTCAGCCCCAGCTCTCCACGCTTCCCTTGGAGCGGTTACTCCCTTCTGCGTAACAAAACACGACAAGTTATCCCTGAATCGTGCCAGATTTCCTCTGCTTGAAGTCTACAATCCTGCAAAAGCCTTGTACATCTGCAGTGAGTGAGCACAGTGATTCAAACTACTTGTGTTTTCTGGAACAGTCTTAAATACTAAGCTCTCCAGTCCAGGACCTGTACCTCTATTTTGATTAGATAGAGCTGAGCATACAGGTGGAGTAAAAATATGTTGCTCTTATTTTCCAGTTGGAAAAAGAAGTCATTTGTTCTTCTGTGAGTGCCATGAGAAAAAAAATCAGTGCTGGAGCAGAGTATTGGTTAGCTTACTTGCGTTTCTATCAGACAACAATGTTTGAAGAGAATCTCCTATTTTGCAATCGATTCTTGGGCCCTGAGCTTTCAAACACTCCCAAATGTGGCACATTCAGTGGAGGCCAGGGGATAAGGAGGAAGGAGCACTTGTGATTTTAAAAATACCAGGGAGGAACTTAGGTTAGAAACGTGCTGAAGTCAAAATATCAGCAAAATATTCAGTTTCTTTCTTTCCTCCCTAAGCTTGTACTGCCACACGCTCTCACTCGCTCTCTTCCCACGCCCCAGCACACCACAGATCGAATTGCTAACCCAATTTATGGGATTCTTGAAAAAAACCTGCGTGATGCTGACCTGCCCTTTGTCTACTGCACCCTGAAGCGTGGAACATCTGGCCGAGTTCGAAGGCAGAAGTGCCATCGGATTGCCGATATGTAATATTTACATTTCATTTAGCAGATTGTGAAGCTTTGCAGTTCCTCATTTTGAGTTTAGAGCGTGTAATTTTGGCTGAAAGTACAGAACTTGTAACTTGGTGCCTATATATTTATAGACTGGCAGATAAAAGTGGGGCTGTTTCAGGGAACTCTGTTTTTATTGGCAGGAAGCGTGTTTGGATTACAGCAGAGTAACACCTTAAGTTAGTCATAGTCAAACAAGTCTCTGAGTCTTGAATTTTACAAAGGGGAGTATAACAAGCTGTTTAATTTCCCTTTTTTAAATTAAACATACAACATTCAATAAAATCAGTAACTGTGGTTGCTGCCTTGTGAATGCAAATGGCTTTACCAGACGGAGGATGTAGCCGCATGCTTAACACGTGCTGTGTCGTAGCCCTGTGTTCCACATCGGCAAATCAAGGCAGAGAGAAATTCCAGTTATTTATGTTATCTATCTATCTGTCTCATGAGTTTTTTTACAGGAACTGGGTCAGAACCCAGGAGTCCTGCGTCTCTGCTCGAATGCTGGGTCTTTGAGGTGAAGCAGAGCAGAACTGTGCTTATGTACAAGTGTTTTGGGACACCAAGGGCAGCTGTTTTATGCCGATTCTTCCTCAGGCCAGTAGCAACGTGGTAGGAGTTACAACACAGATGTTGTAGGACAAAGAGCTGCTGAATTAAGGAATGACGGGTTTGTTAGACATAAGGGGATGATGTTTTAATACAGACCTGTGCCTGAAGGAGAGAATATGAAGTTTGCTAGCTAAAAGTTTGATGAAGGCTTTCAGGGGCTGCAGAATAAATCCATAAATAGCTGCTGCAGCAAATCTGCTGAGCATACAGAGCGCTGGAGGCCAAGATGCTCCACGGACGATCACAGAGTGCATAGGCAGCCCTGGCAACCTGCTGCCAGCTTGGTAGAAGATGAGAGCAGGAGATACATGGCAGCTCAGATTCTCCAGCACCCGCTCCCCTAGCCAGTAGCTGTATTTTTTAAAAAATGGGTGCAAAATAGTCTGGTTTGGTACTCTGACCTTCATCTCCCTGCCTCCCTCCTCCACTAAACCCAGTGATATGGGCCCCAGCTATCCTAGAAGCTAGAAACCACTGGTAGAGGCTTGACTTGCTGTCAAGACCACTGTGAATCCAGCAGCTACACCTTTTTATTTTATTTTTTTTAACCACGTTCTGGAAACAGATGGGGAATAGTTTCCAGTATTGATCAAAGGGCTGTTTTTTCTCTGCAGAGCATGCACATTCATTTCTAAAAATACCTTCCTGAAGCACCATGTCATGTCCCAGCAGTGGCTGGCTGCCCCGCTACTTCTGCCCGCTCCCTCGGGATCTTGTCTAATTGAATATGCTGCATAATATGCTGCTAATTTGGCAGCTGTCAAAATGAATTATAGGGGGTTTTTAACACTACTGCAGTGAGGGTGAGGAGAGTCGCTGCTCAATGTGATTATACCAACTGCCCCTGTTTCTCTTTGCATCCCTGACTCAAGGGAGAGCCGGTGAAGAGCTTGGAGACCCATTAGGTCTTTCCTTGGTCTCATCTTGCACTTCTACAGCGTCGCTTCAACAGCTCCAGCACTGCAAACCGCTTTGGGTTCCCCGTCCGTTTTCCAGGTGTTACTTCCATCGCCAGCTGCGTTCGGAGTCACGTACCATGGGAGACCCCGTGGTCTGCGGGGTTGGAGCTCTAGCAAGCGCCCCTTGGTACAGAGTCAGCCCTGCAGCCCCGGCGCTCAGCCCCTGGGGCACTCGGTACCGCAGTCCCCGCATAAGCTCTGCGCTAAATCTTGCTTCTTGGACATACCCTTTTGGTAACCTTAACAAAATATTTCAAGCTTCTGAGATATTTTCTTCTGCCTCCTGTAAGGTGGAGGGAGAGGAACCCTTGTAGCTGAGGCTGAATTTAATTTTCCTGCAGGGAGGAGGAGGCGGCTCTTACATTTTTATCATTTGTGCTTTTCCCTGCTCATATCTCAGAGCAAGTAGAAGCATGAAGGTGTAAATCAATGATGTCCATCACAGAGGCATGAAGGCTCCACAGTGAAAAAATCTCCATGCCAAGTGTTCTTTCCAGAGAAGAGATCTTCTCTGCACACCCACATCTCCATTCCCTGGTGCATCCCTGGCAGTAACAGCACAGAGGCTCACAATGGTTAGTCCCTCCCCAACGCAGAGATGGGGTGGCACCATGAATCCTCTGGCAGGAAAATGGTGGGTTCCCATATGTTTCTGAACATGAGCCGGCAGTGTGCCCAGGTGGCCAAGAAGGCCAACAGCGCCCTGGCCTGGATCAGCACTAGTGTGGCCAGCAGGAGCAGGGCAGGGATCGTGCCCCTGTAGTCGGTGCTGGTGAGGCCACACCTCGAATCCTGTGTTCAGTGTTGGGCCCCTCACTCCAAGAAGGATGTTGAGGTGCTGGAGCGTGTCCAGAGAAGGGCAACGGAGCTGGGGAGGGGTCCGGAGCACAAGTCTGATGAGGAGCAGCTGAGGGAACTGG